ATAATTGAACCAACAGTGCCCACTGGAACATCCAAACACGTGGATGTTGTTTTGTACCCTTTTCCTCATTTATGCATTTGTTTTCCTTTCTCTTAACTTCTTTGGAATGCTCTTTAGTCTTCACAACCTGACTAATGATCCCTTAACTGTGGGGTTTTTATCCAGAAAATGTGGGAGTTATTTTAATAATTCACAGGTAGAGGCCAAATTGTAAGGCAATTGTATCCTCATTAGGGCAATTGTTTTTCACCTGTGTAAAATTAGAGCTTCCGCAACACAGTGATTGAATACTTATGCAAACAGCATATTGCAGTTTTTTATTTTTCTTAAGAATATTTTCAAACATAAAACAATGTCACATTAAAATAATTTTGAGTTTCAGTGCTTTGAAATATAAATATTACAGAGAACAACATTTCAATGTAGGATTTGTATGGTATCCAAATGCTAAGAGCAGTGAAAATGCCACTTTCTTCAACCAGTCAAATTTCAGTGGCAGACTTTCAGCAGGTTGTGATAGAGATGCTGTGATTTCTTTCAGTAGTTTCAAGTTTGTTTCATAGATGTTTCCTGAAACTTTGAGTTCCACAGCAGTTAGTAAAAATGCTTTGTTTTCTGTACCTCACTACGGCATGTTTGATAGACTCAGACTTCTCTGCGTAAAGTGTGTGTTTTGTCTGAAACTGTTGTTGGACACTTGATGTGTAACAGACAACTCTATCACAACATTGAGCACAAACAGCACGGTCTTGATGTTGAACAAAACCAAATCTTTCCAAAGGTGCTGAAGTGAGCAAACATCTAACTTTGCTTTCCTAGTAACTGCAATTTTGTCCAAAATGTTTGACTTGACAATTAACAGTGAAAAATGTAAGCAGTAGCATGAATTGTAATAGTCAAAAACTTTATTTTATATAGTGCCTTTAAAGGTGGCTTCTCAAAGCACTTTACAGAATGACAACAACAATAAATAAAAAGAATACACAAGAAAAAACACAATTTCAAATTATAGAGGAGACTGTGGATGGTGGTACTAAGAAAAGCAGAGGGGTGAAGAATGGAACCAGTTAAGTAAAGGCTTTTCTGAAGAAGAAGATTTTGAGTCTGGATTTGAAGGAGTTTAGAGAAGTTGACTCTCTGATATCCTTGGAGAGAGAGTTCCAGAGCTTGGGGGCATAACAGGAGAAGGCCCTGTCACCCATACAATGTAGATGGGCTTGGGGGACACTAAGGAGACCAGAATTAGAAGAGCGAAGGTTGCAAGGTGGGGAGTAGGGCAATAAAAGTTCAGACAGGTACTGAGGTGCCAAGCCACGCAGAGCCTTACAGGTGAGGATGAGGATTTTAAAGTCTACACGGAATTTGACCGAAAGCCAGTGCAAGGACTCCAGGATAGGAGTGATGTGATCATTTGCACTAGACCTGGTCAGGATTCTGGCTGCCGAATTTTGGAAGTACTGCAGTTTGTTCAAAGTAGATTAAGATACCTCAGCGAGTAGAGCATTACAGTAGTCAATTCGAGCGAACACAAATGTGTTGATCGGCTTTTCAGCCACAGTTAGTGATAGCATAGGGTGTGGCCTAGCGATATTTCTGAGGTGAAAAAAAGATTGCGAGCTTTCCTGTGAAAATAATAGACTAGCCCCGCTAAAAATAATGTAGTAAATAAACTAAGTGAATCATTTTTTTCTACACCAATTAGCTTTAGATAGCATGCTGCTGAGAATTTCAGAACAGTCAAGCATTGTTTCTTTTGTAACTTAATTTCTTTGTGGTTTATTAGTCATTTATTCCTGCTAAAAATCCCTTGGCATGCCAGTAAGGGTAAGTTCTAGGACTTTGTAGAAAAGTAGATGGCTCCTTTCTCTCTCCACCTGAGTTTTCAAGCCAGTGCCCCATTATGGTGATAGGAACATTGTGCTATAGAAGGTGCCATGAGTGAGATGTAAATTTCAGTTCCTGGGTGCTTGGTTATTGAAGTCTCATGGTACTAATTCTAAGAGCAGAGAAGTCCTGACTGAATCAACATGAGGTTTTTTCAGTCTGGCCTATTGAAGATTCTTTACAGTTCAAAAGAGGTTATTTCTCATATCTCCATCTGAACTGCTGTTTAGTGGCCTGCTGACACACAATGGCTGTCTTGCGTGGTCTGGGTGGGGTGCTGCACTTCATTGGTGGTAGACAGTGGTTTCCTTTGAGATGCAATACAACAAGTGTGAGGAATGGATTTGTGCGTATTGTGATGAAGATAGACCGACAACTGAAGCTACGCAACAGTACATTTCCCTTAGAATGTCCATGAAAACCATCCTGGGATAAAACCGAAGTAGACAGTAATAATGAGCCCTGTGAGTAAGACATAAAGTGTAATTCAGAAACTAGTAGTGTTATGGCCGTTACAGATGATAATATGAGGCTAGTGAATTCTGGACTCTTGTTTCTAACATTTTATTAGCACCCTCTTGTGGTATATTTGATGATCTAATAATTTGATGATCTAATAATATGTACTGTAGGTGTTGCAGAGCACTCTGTCATACAATTAAAAAAGGTAAGGTCCTCTTAAGCACACTTAAAGGCTTACAATTTAGTATTTGAGATAATTAGGCCAGGCCCATGTTTTCCATTCTGACTGATATTCTTGCTGGACCTCAATCTAATATGCATTAGCTAGTTCATGTTTTGAAGGTTTAACTTTGGCTTCTTGCCTTGATCCTTACCAGGAACAGCAGACTGAAAATGGATGGATCTAGGTAGTATCTGTGTAATGGGCCCTAGTTTAATTGTTTTTTCTAGATCACTAAGTTCCCCTCTTTTGGCTTAGATGATCTCCAATATTTTAACCTGTGATTTCTTTTTTTTTCCCAGTCTTTTGAAATTCCACCCAGAGTGTTTGAGAGCTTTATCTAGAAGAGAATTCCCTCTTGTTAACAAACTGGATTGATCAATAAATCAATATCTCATGTTCCTGTGAACTGTAGTTAATTTGGCATTTCCTATTTATATCTGGACAGTAAACATTCCACATCCTAAATGACACTGTCCTCGCTTAACCATTAAGTCAATGTGTTCACTCACCTTGTGTTATATTGTAAAGGAAGAAAAAGAAAAGTTTTTAGTCATTTGCTTAGTTCAGTTTTGTGCGCAACTAATATGTGCACAAGTCTGCCCCCTAGTGTGAAAAAAGTATTCCTAGCAAAGCATTGTTTTCTCCTAGTAGATCATTTTCTTTAAATAAGGGATTCTTGTTTCCTGGCAACATTAATATGTTGTCTAGGCTATTTTTCTAAACCAGTACTGACAAGTATTACAAATACCAAAGTATTATAAATCAGTTAGAATGACATTGTAATATCAGTATTTTTCTCTTGAGTTTGATCGTTCTGATTCTCTGTGGTGTTGTGCCAGAACTTGAGATGCTTTAGTCAAGTATTGTTCGAAGCACACACTACATGAATTTCATTCTCGTTTATTGGAGAGCCACATATGACAAATGAAGGTTTACACTAAATACCACAACAGTATAGCCAGGACTACACTGACTACAGAATTGCCCTATGCTAACTTTACAGTTGTAAAGTGACGATTTTTTATTTTCCTTAGGTCATTACCTGGAACAACGGCTGCCGAGTGTGAATCCAACCTTAAAAAGATCTACACGGTACAGACAGTGCAGGTAAGAATATATTAATAATAATAACATCACTTTATTAACCCTTTACAATTTCTTGCATTGTATGTGAATTGTCTTTTCACATACCCAAGCTTGCTCTCCATGAGACACACAGACACACAGATAGGGAGAGAGCCTGGGATCAGAGCGCAGGGTCTGCCCTGGAGCAGTTGGGGTTACGGAGTAGGATTCCTCTGCCGGCTGCGGGATTTGAACCGGCAACCTTCTAGCCACAGACGCAGATCCTTAGCCACAGAGCCACTGCTCCGCCCATATCTTGTATTTCAAGTAAGAGCAAATAGGTGGGCAGGATTATTAGGTTCGAAGGTGTTTCTGCAAGTGTTCCGATTTGAAATTCAATTTAGACGTTTGTGTGTGTCACAAAAATAAAAAGGAATGAATGGATTTACATTCAGAATGTAGGCTTGTAGGCAGAAAGTTCCTTCTGATTACTTCCACTGGATTGAAAATCGGTAGCTGTGACTCAGAGCATTAAAATAAGATGATCTGAGACAGTTGTCATTTCCAAAAGAGGTAGTGTATCCTACAAAGAAACACAACATATTACCACTTTGCAAGAGAACAATTAAGCTCAAAAGCTTTTATAACTAATAGTAAATTGCCCTGTCTTCTAATTTTAATCTACATCATCCTGGTTAATGACATGTTAATGACAGCAAACACCTGCTGTACATTAAGACACTGTAACTCTTTGTGGATTTCAAGGGGGGGTCCAAAGTGTGCAAACAGTAAGAAAATGGTTAATTAAATAGAAACAATAAAACAATAAGTCAAAAGGATAGCAAACGAGCAAGCAGAAAAACAGCTAACATTTACTAAAAACACCAATTGTGAAACCTGAGGTAGAGCTTTACTTCATTGCAGTGTTTTTTCAAAATGTGTGAGTCAAAGAACTGTCAGAAGAAAACTTTGGAGCACAAGCTAAACTCAACAGGGACGTTTTTTTAATGTTTGCTGTGGTGCTCAGATGAAACCAACTTTAAAGTAAACATATCTTTCCATTTCTTACATAGTCGTATATGAAGCAGCTTGTACACAAAGTTGTGAACCTTTTTAAATAGGAAGCTAAAACAAATTGGAATTTGTTTCTTTCTCTTACCATTAAAATCTTTCTTTAGAGCTTCTGGAGTGTCTACAATAACATCCCTCCAGTGACAAACCTGCCCCTGAGGTGTAGTTATCACCTAATGCGTGGGGAAAGACGACCTCTTTGGTAAGACTTCTGCACTATTGTCATTTTTGCACTAGAAAGGTAAATAGAATTTGAACTTATTTTCCCAGCACATTGCTGACATTGTTAAAAATAGTTAACAATTAAGCCATAAATAAAACTTACCATCTGGAAGTCTGAAACATTTTCTCTGTTGTAATTTTTGTTTTCTAGGGAAGAAGAAAGTAATGCCAAAGGTGGGGTTTGGAAGATGAAAGTTCCCAAAGAAAGCACTGTATGTGTATATTTGTTTATAAATTTGTTTTTAACCACGTGGATAAAAAACAAGTGTTTATTGTATGTATTTTGTTTCAGGCTGCAGTCTGGAAAGAATTGTTACTTGCCACCATTGGGGAACAGTTTGCTGATTACTGTGCATCAGGTAAAAGAAAAATAACATTTTAAAATGGCATTTGTTTCATAAGAGAGTAATATAAATGTGATGGTTATGAGGGGTGTTGGTCTAGGGTTTTGGGTTTTGAATGGCCTGAACCATACATCATCGTGGTAACCTGTGCATCCTGTAAGCAGGTTGTATTTTGTAGCAGGAGAGGTGGGTGTGGCTTATATAGATATTTCCTGTTCTATATTTAAAACTTTTTATATATATATT